ATGTCAACAACAAAAAAGATTTCAGTGCATTCATTGTGTGAGCCTTGCACAGACCTGAGATTGTTTTATCTTGTTTCTATGGCAATATCAATCATTTTTCCATGGAACTATTCAGGTGAGCTATGCCTGAATTTCAAACAAAATACTAAAACTAAAATCGAACTCGTTTTAACTATGCATATGTTTGGCCTCTCACACCTTCAGCTTTTATAGACGCTATAGGTGAAAAAGAGTCTGGGGCATCAAATAGTGCCTCTTTCTTACAATAATACAACATTTAACATGAGAAAGCAAGAATATGTTACATTATAATATTCATTTTAGCTTTTAAATGCAGTCATTTTGCAAAACCGAACTGTGAAAAGCAGGGTTCGTGATTCTTTGAGCTCAGGGGCTGTTCGAATAGACTACGCACTAATCAAGACCCGCTTGGCACAATGTTATGCACAAGGCGCTCCTAATCCGATTGGTCTACTCTGAGATCGGCAGCATTGATGTGGGAGCCTTTGCGATTGTGAGAAGAAATGGAGGATTAAACGCCGGTTAATTAATTACGTATCGAGTGGTCTCTCCAAAAGACTAATGCAAGTGAACTTTTTTGTCACCGTCTGATGGATCTTGGACAGCGCTGTGGTGGGGGGTGAGGGGAGGGGAGGAGATGAGAGAGGGGGACTTGCAGTAATAGATATCACAATAAAGAGAGCTTTGCAATAGATAATAGACAAATAAGAAATAAGAAATAGATTAAGAGATCCTTTACTTGGCTCACAGTGGCATAATGAAGACACAAGAATTAAGAATAAATAGAACAGACGGGAATAAACTGGCATATTTATTGGCTTATCTGACTGTTCCATCCTAATAATCGCTTGTTTTGTTAGTTTTGTTCTTTGTTTGATTTAATTTAGAGAACAATCCTTTATTTGTCCCACAGTGGGGAGAGTTCCGTTTTTTAAACAGTTATTCATTCATGGATATGTATCAACGTTAATGGACATTGGTCATCCTGCTCCTCATGTCCTTTGTGTTTGTTACTGTTGCATTGAACTCTTTGATTCTCTGATTGTGCCATAAACACAACAAAAACGCGAAATATATGAGCTGTTTGTTTGAATATCGTCTTCACAGATCAACAGAAGGACAGCTTAAACTATACTCCAAAACAAAAATAATAATTTGTAAAGCTCGTTGTTTTCAGACTACGGGTGCGAGTAGCAGACGATGAGGGGGCAAAGGAGTCAGAGTCTATAATTAGAAAACAATGATTGACGTGCCTGCATGAGCATTGCTTTCATACAGCTCGAAACAGCATATTAAAAAGATGCAAAAAACACAGCTCTAATTAAATATTCAGATACTTGCGTCTTGTTTACAATCTTCCCAAACGCATGAATACTTAAACTCGCTTTAACCCTTGGCGGTAAACTGCCGAGACTGCACCTCCGCCTACATACTTTGTCTAACCTCCCGCCTTGTGTCTATTCCATCGCCTGTCTGTGCTGTTTTGCCTGTTATGCTTTACACATGAATCGCACTTGCCTTTGTCTGACAATGGGGCTTCAGTACACACAGCCCAAGTCCAAGTAAAAAAATGATAAAAACACACACACACACACAAGGACTAATTACCCTGAAAGGCGTGGGACAGTTGATCATAATGAGCTGTTTGCGTTGTGGGTCGCAGGTAAATTATTTGTGAACTTCCTTTTGTGTTGTGAGACGGAATGCGGCTCGGAGGTGCTCGTAGCTGACGTCTCTTTGTGCAGCTGTGCGCGACGCGGTTTTATGTTATCGCTGTTTGCCTGAATGTTAGCTCACCTGTGTCGCTAAAATCGGACCAACATTGCGATGCGATTTTTTTATGTTTCTGTGTGTTTAAAAAAAAAAGTATGACTGTAATTCAAATATAAATGTGAAACCAATATATGATATAAACTCATTCCATGCAAAGTGACATATGCCAAGCCTTTGTTGTAATTCAGATTTCAATTTATTCTGATTTGATCTTTTTCTTATTTCTTTCTTCTCTTGTTCTTGCAGTCCTGGCAGTTTGCTAATGGCAACCCCAAAGATTTTGTTTTAGTTTTGAATGCTATTTCTCGTGCAGTCCTAGTTTAAGCTCTTTGTTGAACCCGAATTTCACCTGCTCTGTTTTGATCCCACCCAAACCGACAAGCGCCAGGCCTGTGTAAGTAAACACGAGCATAGGCCCATCCATTATTAAGTGCAGCGTTTGGGTGTGGAGGAGAGATGATGGGAGAGGAGAGGAGGGGAGTGGAGGGGACATGTCTGCCTGGGAGTGAAGGCTTTGTAGTCCCGCAGCAAAGTCACATAGACCATATCTGACGCGGCTGCAACTGTCGTAGTCTCCTCCGCGTTGACACAAATGGTGATGGCACCGGGTTGTCACGCGGAGTTCTACTGTTTCTAATGCGTAATGATGTGCTGTTTATAATGGAGAATACTGTATGTGACTGGGATTAAAAAAGGTGTCTGGAGCTATTTAAAAGCTCTTTCACAGGTGCGCTCTGTAGGGTTTGTTCTGCGTTTTGTCCTCCTCTGGTTCATCTTCATTTAGAACTACTGTCAACATTTTCCAGTCCTTTTTAAAACCTGGTGCTAGCCCTAATATACATCCTGTTTGAAACATTGGTTTGAAATGGTAGCAGACCAATTATTGTAACTTTGTGTGAATAGATTTTGGTCTAGAATGTTATCAGAGGAGAGAGAGGACCCTGCTTGCATGAAGAGGAGATCACTGATAGATCTACTAATCAATTTCTGAGCTAAAAGTTTATGTTAATATCACACTGTCATAGACTACAGCAATTAGCTTTTGAGTCAACAGATTGAAACAATAGGTTTCAATGCTCAATTAATCTGAGTGAAATATGTCTAATATAACACCATGAATTATCATACCCCATTACATTTGCGAATAAACAAATCTGCTAACGTGGCGTCATGTTTACAAAAAAAGCAAGCTTTCATTGCCTTAATTTGCTCAGTGTGCGTCCAGGCGCACACCTGTTTGACACGAGCGCGGCAGGGTATGCAGCGGCATGCAAATATCCTGCGGCTATGACACATTAGCGACAGAGCCACCACTGTTTGGGCTTCAAACGAGCAGACTGGAACCTGTTTTAGTGGGAAACCACACATCTGCCTCGTGGGGCTCTCAGTGTTGTTTCTCACTCATGTAGAGGTAATGGTTTATTAAGCATAGTCATATAAGCAAGTTTATCTGAATTAGTTCCAACTAATTTGATTCAAAAGACCTTTCAAAATTGGGGTGAGTCAATGTTCACTTCTTTGGGTGGAGTATTTTTGAAAGAAATATTTGTCAGAGAAGTTTCGGGTTGGAAAGTCTAAGATTGATTTGCCAATTGACCAAAAATATCCTCATTTTTACAAACGCATTAAGATGTGTAGCTACACGATGTAAAGATTGTTCCGTCTTATGAGCACCACGGATGCCCTTTGCGCGAGGTCATAAATTGCTGAGCTCATTCAAGATATTATAATTGAAATGTAATACTTTTCTTTTGATTTCAAGGCTGTACATTTCCTGTAAACAAGCATCTGCTGTGAACCAGTCATGTGGAAATTCTTTTCTTTTCACAAATTAATGTTTTTAATAGTGTGGCTGCCAACTCGATTACTGTTACAAGAACAAGCAATGGGGGTGAAGTGCAGGTAAGCAATAAAAGTGTGCCTCAAGGGAGAATCAAACCAATAGTCTTCTGGATCACACTCGCGAAAGTCTTCGCACTCGCTAAATCTTCTACATTTCTGCTTCTCTTGTTATAAACTTAGAGGAACCAAATCCAAAAATGATCTTGTTTTCGTCTTTGCTTCCAGAGTGTAGGGCCTCCCAGTGCAGTGACAGCTCACAGATGGCAGTGGCAGAGCATCACAGATGGCTCCCCCCCTCTACGCCACGCAGATGGTTCAGTCCACCTCCCGTGTTTCAAACCGGGGGGCCGTCACTAAAATCCTTCGTCTCCACTACGCACACCACGAGCGCTAAGCATATACCTGCGTTGTTGCGGAATGGTTCTGGCCGATTCGAAAATGCCACAAGTCAAGATGGTTTTAAATACTTCAAAGAGTTGGAAAGTCTGCCAATATCAGAATCCTTTGAGGCATTTGGAGTCCTACAGACACACATTTCTACTCTCTCCTCAAATGCTTAGTAACACGGTTGTAAGATTAAGTGGGCGGACTGACACCTTTTCAAATAATTTCTTTTTTACCGTGTTTCAGCAACTTTTGGCACTTTGAAAAGCAGTGAGAGATCTGAAATTAAATTACTAACCCACAGTTCTTCTATTTTTCCCAACAGCTTGCCCACAAACGCCTGAACTCACCTTAAAAGTTTGGGCTGTATAATGACAGCTCTCTGGGTTGTAAAAATGCCATTCCAAAATTGATTGACGGGATTTAGCTTTCGCACAAGACGCGCCTAGCTATGTGAAGTATGTTGAAGACAGCTGGTCCTTTTAACCTCCTAAATTATGTAACACCTAATTTACTATTCCTTAAGGGAGAGTACTTACAAATAGTGATACTTTGCCAACAGAACAGGGGTATAATTGGAGTTTGGTGTATGAGAAAACAAGCTGCAAAGTTGTGTAGCTAGAAAAAGATTCATACATATGGGGAGGTACTGGAAAGTGTCGTCAAGTACAATTCTTCTAATTTTCCCGATCGCAAATACCACAAAAGAGTACATTGTAAAACTAGCATTATAAGTAATCACTTTCCGTCTCAAATCTGGAAGCATTTTAGATGACATTTTATATGAACATTGAGCATATAGAGAAATTAAACGGTGTAAAGTCTCTGAGTACAGTTACCTCAAGTACAATTACCACACAATATAAGTACTCAATGTCGCAATGTATTGAGTATTTGAAATGAATCACTTCCCACTCCTGCACACAGTATGCCTAAAACCTGCGAAAGAAGCCCTCCAACACAGTTTACTCAATACTTACAGATGATATAGTAGTCTTTTCCTCTGAAGAACTCCAGCCCCCACAAGTTTGGACTGAACTCCTGAAATTTGAGGGTGAATTTGACATCCTGGTCGGGCTTGACACAGTTCAGGAGCGGCGTGTCGGCTTTTGTGATGGTGCAGCTTTCCAGTTGGTCCCTGGGCACCATGTACACTTTGTAATACTCCACGCCTTCGCCGATGCCGCCGTCCACCCGCGGGCAAACAATGTCCAATTTATCCCCGATTTGAGGGTACAATACCACGCCTTGGCCTGGGATGAATCTGGAAAAAAGAAAGCAAAAAAACGTCAAAGTTAAAGAGATGCAAAGTCATTCATTATGTAAGTGTTTTCCGCTGTATCTTTCAAAAATTCTTGCAGCCGGGGTTAATTATTGATGCGGTAATTACTGATTGTGTTCATTAATTTTTCAAGGGGAGGGGGTGGTGTGTGTGTGTGTGTGAGGGTTTTGGAAAGTTGAGATAATGAGCCAGAGAATGAGAACAGAGGCTGCTTGCTTGCATTTGGTGGGAAAATGTCAGAACAGCGAAGGCATACAAAACAGGCAGCAGAGAAACAATGCAAGAGGAACCAGCGGTAGACATCGAGCCCCAAGGCAGTCTCTCTCCAAGTGTACTTTCATTTTCCCCCTAAATCCTTCCCAAACGTACAATAATGTTGCCATTTAGTCTCATGGTGTCAAGCTCCCCGCAGCATTCCAACGACTGCACGCGCACACACAAACACACAGGAGTGGTTAGGAGTTGGAAGTGAAAACATGCACTTATCAGCTAAATGAATTTGCCTCATGCCCCAAACGGTTAGCAAATGACTCCGCAGCCAGAAGGCCTGTGTGGCTTAATGCAAAACAACTATTAAAATGCATGCGTATATACATACAAATGATTCCATATGGAGAATTAGCTTGTTGTCATTAAAAATGGAAGGCAGCCATCTTGACATGTGCTTATCTGATTATATAAATGGCTTATTTGCTGCCATTTCTCCACAGAGGGCGCAGGGGAAGGCTCACACTAGGGACTGATGAAAAGGAGTAGACAATTCATAATTAACAAAGTGAGCTAAATGAAAGAGCGGTGGGGGGGAGATATGCCGTGAAAATCAGCTTTCTTGCTGATGTGGGGCTGCTTGAGCTCCTGTGGCTCTTCTATCATTTGTGGTTTATATTTAGAAGCTTTAAGGGCGACATGTCTTGATAACTTTGTCAATTTTCATGGAGGGATGCAGCTAAAGAGGATTTGACTAGTCAACCGATTGTTCTGTTGGCGTTATGTTCAGTGTAATTTGTAAAATATCCAATCAAAATGTGTTTACAATTAACTTGGCATGACAATAAGGCATTGCAACACATAGTGTTTTAGTGGATCTAATTATTTTTTGCCAAATTGTTTTAGTGAGATTTATAAGGCATAGAGTGCATAAGCAGAGGAGTGAGTAAACACTGTAGTTTTCCACTTGAAGAAGCTGTTTAAATGTATACATAAATATGTATGTATCACCATATGACCTGTTATATGTTGATATTCAGGCACAAAAATAAAACCTTCTAAAAAAAACCACAAAATTTCTTCTAAATACCATTACATCATTATTACTCATTTGAGTAATTCAGCTGTGGCATGTCAAGCAAAAATGCCTTGAGTCAACTACTGCTTGTAGTAGCAGTTAGAACTGCTGTGCATCTAACATAAACTGTGCAGAGACAATACAAGGCAAAAGGCTAATAGATTTGAACGTTGTTGACAGCTCATATACTCTTCTGTCTTTCGTAAAGGCGGTGCTATATAGTGTGCCTGCATCATTTCTGTGGCTCTGGGCATATATAAAAAAATAGAGAGAGAGAAAGAAAAAAAAGGCTTCCAATACATGGGCTCGAATGCACAGGCAGGCAGCAAAGAACTAGGGCGAGCGAACATTTTCTCTGCCCCTCGGGGACAACACTCACAGTGGCACAGTGCGGACAGTGACGGGCCGATATGGAGGGGAACGTCAATGCGTTGCAGCGCCATCTGGCATCAAACTGGAGCAGCGAGAAAGAGAGAGAGAGCAAGACAAGAGAGGTCCTTCGCAAGCGCCTCGGGGTAGATCCGCTCCCCATATATATAGCATAGCCTATGCACTGCGCACATTAGCCGTATACATGCGTGTGTTGGTGCGGTCTGGAGTGCTCGGTCATGCGTGTGGGCAGGCATGTGTGTTTACCCAGCGCGGGGGAGAAGCATGAATGCGTCCATGTGCTAGCGATAAAACTTGTGTGTGGCTCGTGGTGGCCATTATTTATCTTAAGAGGCTCATGTGGAAGTGTTCACTATAATAGGCGCTGTGAGCAGAGAGGAGGTTGACTTCAAGCCTGCGCGGTAGATGTGTCAAGCTGGGAAAATTGCATGTGTCGTTTAAAATGGCAATGAGTCAGGCCTGGCCTTAAATTGACAGCAGTTATGGAGTTTGATGGGAAAAACGTGTTGAAACTGTAATTATGGTAGCATGGATGAGAATAGATGTGTACATGTTTAGGTGTACATGAGATTTCCCCACTGTGGGACAAATAAAGTGTCTCTTAATCTTAAATGTAGGCAGGTATTGAGGTTAAGAGATTCTCTATTAGTCCCACAGTGGGCCAATTTCAGTTATATGTTTGTTAAAGAAGATGTCTTGTGATTTTGTCCACCTTAATGATGTGTTTATAATTTGAATCTAAAATTATGTGATAAAAAATGACAAGTAGGCTGACTTCCAGGTTGAAAACTACACAGAGCTCCTTTCCAACTGCTAAGGATAGTTGGAGCAGTAGTGACAGAAGATTTAAAGCTGGGGAACCTAACTTTCAAACCACAATGAACGAAACCATGTAATAAAACCTAAGTAAGTACCGTCGCTCCTGGCTCTAAAACAGTTTTCTTCTATCTCTAGTTTTCACATGCATGTATTTTTGGCCTCCGTCATAACTATTGAATACAGAATGGAGTGGTCTGACTTGTTCATCAAATCACCTGTTACAAGATTTATTATATGTCAAACAAAAAGTTAAGTACCACAGATTTAAGGTTGTACTCGGATTACTTTGAACAGGCAAATGTGAAGGTAAACCAATTCTAGCACGGTTGCAAGCCTTTAAACGTCAAATCTGCACAAACTACCTTTAAAAGTATTCAACGTTTTGCCAGTCTAATTTCCAATGTTTTGATATGCTAGCGTCGATGCTATCATGAAAGGAAATGGGCAAAGCTAACACAAACAAAACTAGCTCCGGGACAGAATTCCTTATTTTCTCAACAACACGCCTCCCTGCCTCATTTGCTTTTGTTTTTGTTTTTTTTTACTTAAAGAACAAAAGATAAGCCGGTATCATAAAAGCGGTTGTATCCTGTTCTCTCACTGTCTTCAGCCATTCAAAATTAGCCAGGGGGCGAGATGAAAAACAGGCCTAACGTGCTCTGCAGTCTCCTATTCCACTGCAGCCGCTGTATAATGAATGTATTCAATAAATGCTGACAAAGGAGGGAAACTGTTTGAATGTGGTTTTAAGATAAGCTCGCAAAGAGGGATGATTATGGGCAAAAAATGAGCTACTCAGGAGTGAACAAAAGACAAAAGGCTCAAGGGAGAGTGTGATTGTGCGCGTTGACAGTGATTCGGTTTTGTGGCTTTTGTCTTTCCCTGTGGCGCTTGCCTCTGTAGCAGGTGTATGCAAGAGTACGGGGTGCGTGGATCTTAAAGGGGTGTCCACAAAACTTATGAGAGAGAACGATGAGAAAGAGAGGAAACTGAAAGAATTAACAAAGGGGGGAAGTATGAATAATAAGTGTGTACTAGGGCTGTAGCAATTTGTCAACTACCGTAATTATACTTCACCAACTTCCGATTTATCAGCTGTTTTTTCCCCTTTAAATAATAATGTACTTCATATACCTTAAGAAAAGAAATTGTGTTATGCTTTTAGTGAGTTTAAATGTATTGGAACATGCCTTGTGTTGTGTATGAACCTTGCTTCCTTAAAAAAGACAATATGTATGTGTGAGTGAGTGGATTAGGCAGGTCCTGACTTTAAAATTTGCTAAAATTTGCCAAATCTTGGCTGATTACTTTTGCCTTACAAGATTTATGAATTGTTGGTTGATAATTTGATCAACCTTAACTGAACTATAAAGATATGTCAAAAGACAGCACTATCTAAAATGCAAAAAACGGCCATTTTAAACCTACTGTTATACGTGATTTAATATTTTATAGACATTACCCAATCCACCCTCAGATATGAAGTAAACACGCTAAAAATAAATTGCTGTATACTTTTGCAAACTTGCTGAGGAATAATTCATAATTAATGACTGGAGAGTTTACATCATGTAAATGTTGTTTATGTTTAGAGTTTCTTCTACATTTGATCTTGTTGGGGAGTATACAGACCTGCAAATAACGAAATACCTTGAAACTTTAGCTGTGGCAGTAAGTGGGGTGCCCTACAGAATCACTAAAACTTTATCTCTAAAGTGTGGCAATTGCTATCCCCTTTGGACAGCAACCATGACTAAAAAGACTTGCAAAAAAGCAGAAGAACAAGACAAGAGCAGGAAGTGAAGACAAATAAAAATCCCGCCCAGGCATCTCATGATTGCAAATGCGTTTGACCCCCTGGCCCTATCCTAAAACAGAGGACCCCCCCACTAGCGGCTCGGAGGCACACTTGGCCATTCAGCTCCCCCTATCCTCTCCTCTCCTCCCCGATTCTCTTTCTTCTCTATTTCTTTAAAGTCCTTCTCCTCCTCCTCCTGCGGGACATAAATATTCCAGAGAGCAGTCGTATTTTATCGACTATAGCCGCAGCTCTGCAAATCAGGCGTTAAAAGCATTACGGGCAGTTAAAGCTAAGCGTAAACAGTGTGTGAAGACATAAGCAGGTTACAGTTGTAAGAATGTGGGCATCAATGGGAGGGCCGGACCATAACACGGTTAAGAGGGCCTCCATTTTGTGACGGAAATGAGGTCATGCTTTTAGTGAGTTTAGTTGTATTGGAAACATGGTCTATAAGATTTCCGACTGTGTGACACAAAGCCTGACAAATTGTGATTTCAGGTACAATTTAGTTTTACAAGTGGTCTGGACTAAGTTCTATTATGCATCAAAAAGCAAGGGTACCTAACCATAAATATGTAACTACAGTATGGAATAAAAATCCATCTACAGTATTTCCTCGCTCTCAAAACAGTGTGGTTGGATCACTAGTTTTCACATGCATGTAATGTTGGCCTTTGTCACAACTTT